AAGGTAAGGTAGGTAAACGTACCGTCCCTCCTACTACTAATTACTACTACACGACTAACTAACTACTACTACTACTAGAACAAACTAAACTAACTAGTAAGAAGAGAGAGAGAGAGAGAGAGAGAGAGAGAGAGGTTGCAGAGAGAATAAGTGACGGGTTTGACATAATAGAGGAAATGGCTCCATGAGTTATAGATTCCACCATTTCTGTGTATTTTTGCAGTTGCATAAGCACTGAAGAAGCCCAACAAGCCTCAAGAGAGAGAGAGAGAGAGAGAGAGAGAGAGAGCGAGAGAGAGAGGCCTGTAGACCCCAGACCCCAACTTTTGCTCTTATTTAAATCTCATCCACAAGAATCAGGGTTCATCTGGGACCAAGAGGGGCCAGCCAGGTTCTGCCGAAATATGGAGAACCGAGTGGTTCCTGGAATGACCCAGAACCAGCTCTACCTTTTCTTTTCTTTTTTTAACTCTAATTTTTTAATTTTTATTGGCCCATTCACTCAGCCAAATCGCCGATCTACCGAATTGGACTAGTTTTTTGGATGGACTGAGTAACCGATCTGTTTTTTTAAACCTTGATGAAAATTAAATAAAAACAAAACAAATTCACTCAAAATAATTTTAAAAAAAAAAACACACAATTGGGCAAACGAATGCCTCTTTCAATTAATGCAAACCGGTTAGGGTATGGTAAATCTAGGTCTTCAAAAACTCAAAATCTGTTATTGCTTATTTATTTTTCAAATCAAAGATACCCAAAACAATCCCTCTAGCTATCAAGTTCGGAGCTCGGCTCACACTATAGCTATGAATGAGTTAGAACCCTATATTCATTCCCGCACATGCAGGCACACATGCACGTGCATGCACGCATTAAACCATTAACATGCACCCAACCATGTAGAAATCTCTTGGCAAAAAATACTCCTGCCCTCTATTAAAATTTATTTTTTGGCAGAGGTAATCTTCCCAAATGCCCATAGCCTGAGAGAGAACCATACAAAGCCATTGCCATTTGCATTTAGCACCATTTATTTCGATTAAAAATTGCACGTCATTTTCATATACACACATATAGTCATTTCACAAAGGATCTTACCAAGGTTTATAAATTAGCAAAAAAAGGAATATAAAGAAAACAAGAAAACTAATACTACACAAAAAAAGCAAAAAAAATGTAAAGCACAAAGCAGTTTACCATGGCTTAATATTTGGGAAAACAAAGAAGAAAACACGCACAACTACTACTACTACTACAACAAATAAATTTTTTTTAAAAAAAAACCCTACTACTACAATATGAACCCCCGTAAAAATGAGAGTAAAAACAGACATGAGAATAGGAAGCGGCACGTCACTGAAAAGAATTGAAGAAAGAGATGGTGTCCTTGAGTGCATGGATAAAACGATCCACATCGTCTTTGGTGTTATAAAAGTGAAGGCTCGCACGGGCACTTGCATTGACCCCCAAGAATCTGTGAAGCGGCTGTGCACAATGGTGCCCGGACCGGATCGCCACTCCATGCTGGAAAAAGGCAAAAATATCTTCAGGCAAGTAGATACATACAACATATATACATATAATGGATCAGATAGAACTCCACCCCGAAGAACTGCAAAAAAAAAAGTTTAAAGGGAAGTACACACGTGCACGCATACATACATGCGCCTATTTGATCAGATGACCACACCATACATGAGAATGGCAAAAATAGTTCAAAGGGAAATACACGCATTCATGCTTACATACACAAGTTCTGTCTATCGGAAAAGGCGTAAAGATTTGAAACGGAAGTACATGCATGCATGTGGCCAATCCATGTTAGGAAAAGTCAAATATACAATAAATATCATGAATGCATACACATATAAGTGAGACCAGATGGCCACTCCATGCTCGGGAGAGGGGAAAAAAAAAAAATTCAAGGGAAGTATATGCATACACACATATACATACATAAATAGACCAGATGGCCCCTCCACATTGGGAAAAGGCAAAACTATTTTCAAGCAAGCTAATAGTCATGTATGTATGTCGTATGCATACGTCAATACAACAAAACTAATCCTTAGACGGTTGAAGTTNAAGTCGTGGGAGGCAAGGCACGCAAGGGCTAAG